CCCCAAAACCCCAAAACCCCAAAACCCCAAAGATGTCATAATTAATGCTATGATATTCTTATGAAATCAAATTTATATTAAAGAATTAATTTCACTGTATGAGATGGCCAAATCTCTTTAAATTAATCTTTATTTCATTTAAAGGCCCCTTTTAATAATCCTTAAGCTTAAGGGAAGGAGTTACGATTTGAGTGGTTAGAACAGAATCATTGAGATTTGATCTTATTGTTGGACTGTTGTTTGCAGTCATATTAATAGGTCTTTGTTAAAAGCCAGTGCTCTTGTGCAAAGCAGAGGTCTGAATTACTCTCTTATATTTCTCCATACTAGATGAATAAATGTTTCGCTTAGGGGCCTGGCCTCCACCTACTTCGAAATAGTCATTTTACTTTCTTTATTCATACTCTCTAATTAAATTGCTGGCATCTCTGTCCTTATAACTTTTATTTTGGCCCATGCTTGTCCTCGCCCTGTCAGTTTTAGTAAAAGAGTCTTTGTTTCCCTAGATTGAATTTCTCATAACGCTTGAACTCTGATTTCTAAAGCCAAGCTTTGTGTTATTGTTGCTTGAAATATTATCTACACTTGCCATTTCTAGTAGATCCTGATCGAAACTCTTTTTAAATCTTCGCTTTGCATCTATAATCTTTGAGTTCACTTGATCTAATTTTGAAAGAATTGAATCTGCATAGGTATTAGGAGTATGATGGCCAAGCGACTTGGGATCTGGGTGACTCATCAAAGAACATAATTTAGTTTAATGAAGGGGTGTATTCGGGATGAGTTAGTGCGTTTGAATCGGCAATGTTTGGTAAGCTAAGTTTTCTTGATGTTACTTTTATTACTGAATCAATTAGTTATGCTACTTTTCAATAAGTGATTTGTGATCGTCAAGTATTTGCTAGAAGTCAGAAAGAATTATTCTATAAAGAGCATCATATCTATCAAGTTCCCTACTCAGAGCCTAACTCTCCTTTTGTATATTTTGTATAGAATCATTTACTGGTCTTTTTATTTCTTCAATTTCACCTAGCACCTCCTGAAGTTTAATCATTACAAAGTTCTTCAAATTCTCAATTTCTCTGTTGAACTCTTCATTGGATATCGTTGTACTATTCACTTATCCTCCAATTATTGTGATATTTTGAGTGTTATTGAAATTTGATCGAGTACTCATCTGTCCCTCTTAAATAGAACCAAAGAGTGTCTGCTGCTCTTATGCAGAGAGATTTAGATTTTGGAATTTAAGTGCTTATAGCTTTTTCTTAACTAACTCCATAAGTTAACGCAGATTCTCTTCATTCGTTTCAAATGTTTTCAGCTTTTACTTATAGAACTCCTTGTCCTGTTGATACTACTCTTTGACTAATTATTAGTCTTTTTCAATACCTATTTTCATCTTTTTGATCGTTTCTACTGACTTCTTTAGATAAGATTCTTTTAGTTTTTCATCATAGGTCTCATGCTCGTGTATTCTCAACTTTAGTGTTTCGTAAGACTTAATAACCTGCTATATTTTCTGATGATTATTATGTATAAAAGCTATCTATGGATGAATATCAACCTCGTGCTTGTGTAGTTTCTCTTATAAATCCTTTATCTACTGATTTACCATTATGAAATCTCTCTTTAAATTGTCTATCTCCACAGTGTCATTAATTTGAGGTTAGCCTCGCTTCAATGCATTCATTTTATTTTTGCGGTAGGGAGAAGTGGAACCCACTATATTATTATTATTATATAAAAATTCTTACATCTTGATTAAGCGAATCTAAGAGATGATCCTTATGATAACATATCATTATTCAGAGGTACTTTATCCTTTGCTTGCTCTAGAGTATTACTCTTTTCTGATATTTCCTTTTCTAAATTTGACTTACTGTTCTCTTCTACCTTTACTTGCTTCCCACTCAGCTTAATCTTTACTCCAATCTGAGGCATAATTTATGGTTAAGCCATTTCTTATGTATATTTTTTATCCAATAACTATCTATCTTGAATCCTATCTGTAATGTTTTTATCATTCAAAATACTAGCAGCATTGGTATCATTATTGATATTTGCTCCCTTATTATTAAATAGGTCAATTCCCTTCATTTCATTTACCTTTGACTTGGGACTGGTCTCCTTAGGACTTAAAAATGGCGATTTTTATGCATTATCATGATGATAATTAGGAAAATTCAAGTGTTAATTAGTTGATGAAGCGAATTTCGATTTGTTATTAGTTGAAGGCTGAACTACTGGTTGTGGAAAATTCGGTAGCTTTTCTCTGGGAGACTTTCTGATTGGTTGATTTGCTTGTTGATGATTTTATTTCTTACCTTGATTATTCTCTTTCTCCTTCTTTTTAAATTAGTTTGTTGCTGGAATTTGATCATTAACATACTACTCTAAAGCTTTCTTTTGATTATTGATAACTTCAATTGAATTTATTGGTGGGTCTCCATTTCTTCCTATTATCAAATCAATATTCTATACATTTGCATGTGTAGAAGGTGTTTAAACACTGTTAATCTAATCATGACCCATCAAAGCATGGTCTTTAGGACTGATATCAACCATACTTAAGTCTACTTTTTATTCGTCATCAATATCAAGGGATTTATTATGTCTGAATCCAAATTAGCTTGAACTATTATTAACTTAGTCTTTCATCTCAGCAGAGTCTACATCGTCGTCAAAGCTGCCATCTCTTTCATCAAACTCATCCTCATTTGAATCTGCTGATAAGTATTCATGCATCATCATCTCAATGCGATTGATTCTTTCATTGATTTCTTTGACAGCTGAAATGTCTGCCTTGTTTATATCAAGTGATTCAACATCTTTGATCTCAGCCTTACAAGAGACCTTTTATATAACAATCTGATCTAAACTTGCGAGGGCCTGATTGATCTTCATCTCATTATCTCTAACTATGTCCATAACAAATAAATTATCAGTCTGCATCGACTTTTTTGAAGCTTTCTCTTTTAAGGCCATGATCATTTCACCAGTGAAATGACTGAGTTTAGCTTCAAGTTCTTCATTTATTTTCAAAATTCTCATGTCCATCTATGCATCTAAATGCAACTGCATCGTATCTAAGTAATTTTATAGCGAGGCTGTTGTTATCAGTTCATTGCCTCTCATTAGCACATTCTACTTATAGAATGAATCTTCAAGTTACTACAGTCGGTAACTTACTGAATCAAACTAACATTTTATCAACAATGTCATAGAAATAGACTTACTGCTGTTTTTAACTTGTAGAAATGGCTCTTGACTGTTAAGAAATCAGACAGCCCATCACCTCTTCTTAGAATATATTTCTAGTCGATGTTGCTCTTTTCATCCAGGACTAGAAACTCGTCTCTCTTGCTTCTCTGTATTCCATCATTAACTTGGACTTATTCAATTGGATCAAAATAGGAATTAGTAAGGCTATTATTCATTATTCAAAATTATTGATTTCAAAAGAGTTTCAATCTCTTTATAAATCGGACTTCTTAATTATAATTAAACTCATACTTTCATTTAATATTTATCAATTATGATTAAGCAAATAAAACACATGGGGTTTTGGGGTTTTGGGGTTTTGGGG